AAATCTGCTAAAATCAACTAAAATCCTTACTGATCTTCATTATGAGTCTCATTCATAACATTCATTGATTCAACTATCGAGCTGTACGCAGCAGATGAGTGAGCAGAATTTGAGTTATTATCCTCAGTTGGCGATATGACATTTGAAAAAGCTACTGCAGATTCATAGAGCTGTTCAGGTGTAGAAGTGGTAGTATAGTTATAATTAGGATATGGCGATGATCGCGTTGTGCAATTGTATGTAGAATTTGCGTTCAGACTAGAATTAACATTATTTTCTGGCGGTGATAAAAAGCTAGGTGTCGAAGTTGTTGGAGGTGAAATCTCAATGACTAATCCTAGAACCTTTGAGCGAAACTGCAGCTTTTGATAAGCTTTTGATAATAGTATTTAATGGTTTTATCGTAGAATCATAACAAGTTCTTTACTAGCTACTTAGGACTTTGGAGAAGGTTCGAATTAAAAATGGATAATGTTTACTTGAGCATTATTTTTTATTTCTGTCGTAAAATATAAAGTAGTTTGTAACAAGAAAACTTAAGTTAACGGTGACACGCCGTCCATTATATCGTCTTGGGTCACATGGAAGCCAGATGTCGATGGTGTGTTGGTGTTATTGGATACTACTTCATCATCACTTTCATCTTCGCTTGAGCTTCTGTCATCAGAATCATTATCGTCAATGCGAATGATAAATATTTCCGTCATCAGGTCGACCACATGGTAATTTTTTCGGTATTCTTCCTCAATACTTTTAACTTTACTACACAACTTTCCCAAATTACCTTCTCCCATCAAATTTACCTTTTTGTTCACTCGTTCAGTAATAAAACAATAGATATAAATAATTTTTCTTTCCTTCCCTTTTAAAACCATCGTCGCGCGTCGTGCAAAGTAAGCTGTGTATGCGAGAGTATTTTGGGAAACATCGAATTTTCAAAGCGCGGGAAGAATGAGGAACCAATAGTAATACTGGCGAGCATTTCCCCGTCGCGCCCCCTTCGTACCTCGCGCTGTAGCCGCTTGACCGACTATGTGTCTCGACTATGTCCTCGCGTCAGCATTGCCAAATTGCGGGGATTTTAAAGAATGGAGATTGATATTATGCGGGAAAATGCGGGGATTTTAAAAATCGATATACTTATCTTAACATTTTTGTTAGGTTGCTTATGAATATCGAATGATTCCCTTTTTTTAAATATCTTCATTACACAACCTTTAAGATTTATTTCGGCACCTTTTGTGTATCATTTAATGCTTTTCATTTCTTATTTTTTTAATTTTAAAGCAGAGAACTGCATGTGTGTGCAGATACTGTGGTACTTTTTAACGGCAACAAGTGAAGGAATTAAAAATACTCCATGGAGCAAAACGCTTATTACAAAAATATGGAAAGTGTAAAAAAAAATTCCGGTAAAAACAAAAAAAAATGTTATTTAAAAAAATTATATGGAAAGAAAATTGCTTCATTTCTTAAAATAAAATGAGGGGAATCTGTTGAAGTTGTTTTGTCCTTAAATTGGGGAATTTGACATAGATTTTCGGAGAATTTGGCAAATTCGTGTTGACAACGCTGCCATGTTGCACCGAAATTTACCTACTAAGATTTGTCTGCAAGCGACATAAGAATTAGAGGCGGCAATCACAATAAAACTTGCAAGTAATTTTTAATAGTTTTGACGTACCTCTTTTCAAATCAAAGTATTGGACGGATTAAAAAGGAAAAGTCAATTAAAATAATTATTGTTTAGATTAATTATCTGTTGATCATAATTGCAATTGATTTTAACTATTAAATTATTCAATACCATTTCATTTCTATTTTCTTGTACAAAATCAAAGATAACGATGAAATAGTGTTTATAATTGTGTGAGCGAAGATGAATAAAAAAAGAAAAAAAAATAAAATGGATGAAATTGTTGCTGAAGAGACCGCATTACTTTAAACCATCTCAATATTTTAAGGATTCTTGATTCTGAAGAATTTCGGAATTTTCTAAGAATGGATCAAGATACTTTTAATGAATTACTTGAGATGGTGCGTCCAATTATTATGAAAAAAATATACAGTTATGCGTCAAGCCGTGTCTGCTGAAGAACGATTAATAGCTACATTAAGATTTTTGGCTACGGGAAGAAGTTATAAAGATCTGAGATTTAGTACAGTTACATCATTTAAATTGCTTTCAAAAACTATACCTGAAACTTGTTGGGCGATATACAAGGCTTTAAAGAAATCAAAGCAAGGTAGAGTGTATTGATATTTATTTATCCTTTTTAAAAATTACAAATTCACTTATTGCACTAGCCGATCCTTCGTATATTATTATATTCGTATCATTAGATGTAGAGTGATGACTAGATGATGGTTGGGTGGGATGTGGTTATGGTGATGGTTGGGTGGGATGTGGTGATGGTGATGACTGAATGTAATTTGGGGGTGTGCCGCGCCAGCAACTGGCCTGCCTGTAGCTTGCAGAGTCACACCAGAGATGGTACATTCTGACGATTGGCTCGTAGTGTTCCCACGGAATCGGTTCGACGTTTCTTCAAAAACCTCGCCAAGAGGGGTAACTGAACCAATTGTCCATAAAAAGAGTATAGCCTTTGTCGACCAGTGGCCAAATGAGTATGAGTACAGTTTTAGTACTCACGTTAAGTGACGATGGAAATTTGGGATCGGGGGATATTTTCCTTTCCTGTGTAGACGAAAAACGACCACATGTATCCATAGCCGACTCGCACAGTTACAAAATTTTTATTCCGGATCGAGGCGCTTTAGTCTTTATATATTGTTTGAATGAGTTTACCTTTTCATAAAGTTAAGCTCTCGTCAATACATATTTCCTGTTTAGGGATATAAACGGAGTGAAAGCGCGAATTCAAATGATTTATAATTGGTTCAATAGGAAAGAGAGGGTGAGAATCAGGTGTACGTGTTGCGTTATTTACAAAATGAAAAGTGCGGCACAAATAGTAATACCTAGTGCTTGAAAACAAATGTCGGAAAATATGGGTCTTCAATAGAAAATACATACCCTTTTGGTAATCCCACTTCTGAATTGTAATAAATAAAACAATCTCCAAGTTCTTAGTTGGTTATATTATTACTATTAAACAATAAACACTTATAATTATACTTTTACTCTTAATAACAATGTTTGCCAGCATAATATCAATAGCCTTGTCTTGTAACAACCACAAGTCTGTCGTCTGTAGCCATTGCTCTCAAACTCCCCCAGCCGCTATCCCTTCTCGCTCGTATTTCCATTTTTAACCAATCTCAACACGTTTCCGGAGTCAGCTACCAACTTACAAAAATGATACTACTTGAACTGACCACAGCAGTATTTCTACTACTGCAATCCATTCACACAATGCTAAATAAGTAAATTATTATACATTAATTTGTAAAAGAATATTTAAAATGATATGATAAATTTAGAAATCATGACAGGTCGAATCTGCATATTGAAGTCGTTTTTGCAACAAATTCCAGAAGTGACGCTTTGTTCCCAAAGGTGCAATATGCTGCGCAATAACAGTGCGTGCACTGAGAGTTGTATGATAATAGGATTAACGCATTCCATATCAATCCTCAAAGATAATAATACTGTTGTCTTCTTTGTTTGAAGTTCACTGCAGGTTTCCATGGCCTCATTAGCCACTTACAACCATATACACATACCGTCAGTTTTATATTTAAAAATTAATATTAATATTTAACACGATAACCGCCAAGCAAAAAAGGACATCATTCCGTTCAGGCTATGTCGGTCAATGCTGTCCGACAACTTGACTTTCCGTTCGTGCCACGTCGGTCAATGCTGACCGCGTTTTTGAAGTGTATTCAATCAACTCATACAGGCCGTAGGACAGGGCTATCAACAATATAGCTATATGTATTGACCCGCGTGGCTCCGTAGATCATGTTGGTTTTCGGAAAATGTAAAGGACTTAGAAAAAAAAACAAAAAAGTAGCAAAATTACTTTTCCGCGAAAAAAATTATAGTTTGCTTAGCAGGCAGTGTTCTGACTTAAAACAAATATTATTATAATTTATAAAATATAGTGTTTTGACATATATAATTTTATTCTTGAGGATGAATAAAATATAAAAATGTTTTTTTATATAATTGTGACATTAAATACTTAAGATAGAGATTAATATGAAAATATTTTTTAAACATATCGAAATGAAAACTTCTGTGCGTGCGATCTGCATGAGTTAGTCGATATATAAGTCTGAAAGTATGTGTATGAGTGTGTATTTATGTATGAATGAGTTGATGTGTGTACCTATATGAATTTTTGTGAGTAAAAATTTAAATGAAAAACTCTTTATATTATGGGGAGCTTATACTTTATTGAAGTAAGTTTTGCATATAAAATAAACATCGAAACAAAAACAAAGAACGTATTAATTATTAATCAAAGAAATAAAAATGAAATTTTGAAAAAGTACAAGAAATTTTGCAAAATTTAGTAGTTAATATTCATAATTTAAAAAAAATATATTTATATACCTACTAAGAAACATAAAATTTATTTATGAATGTTAGCAAAACACTCAACACACAGAAAAGGTTTCTCTACGCAAGTGTCACAATAAGTGGGAACTTTTTTTGTTTTATTTCTGGCCACTACACGTCCAAATGTGGAAACATTATATTTGTAACACTCTACACACATACGACGCACCTTTAGAGAAGGACCTTCCTTCTTCTGAAGCACATGTTTTTTTCTTATCGGCCGCTCTAAAGAAGCTTCAAATGTAGATGAATTAGTTAGTTAACTCTTCATAATTTCTTTTCTCATCTCCACAATAGATAAATTTTTGTTAGTGACAGATTTATGTAAGACCAAAGCATTCACCATGGCAACATTCAAAATTAAATCAAAAGCAAGTTTTCGGTACCATTTAACAAAGATTTTCTTAGTGGTGTTTGGTACGCCGCCATCTGATCCGAAAGATCCACTGCTCCTTTTGCTTTGTTATAATCAAGAACTATAGCCGGTTTCATAGTTGTTTTTATTATGTTTATTGATGGGCAGAAAACGCGTTGAATGTTTCGTGGAGAGGACTAAAACATCTCTCTTATCTTTCCATCTTAAAACGGTTATACCGTCATCACTTTCTTTGGCAATAAACTCGCCTTTTTTGAGCTTGGTGGAAACAATAACTTTAGGGAAATGTTTGCGATTTTTGCGTAAAGTTCCGATCAAATGTGTTTCGTTTTTCATGAGCTCTCTAGCTAAACTTACAGTTGTATACCAATTATCTGTGTACAAGCAATGCCCTTTATTCAGAAGATCTTGGCAAAGGTTCTTTACAACACTTTGAGGTGTAATATTTATTTGCTCATGTTGTTTGCCAGCGTATATATTAACTCAGTATATATATCCTAGTAAACAGCACAGTTTAAAGAGCTTTATTCCATACTTACGCCACCATACTTATCACCATACGAAACACAGCAGTGTTAAGCTGCTATTCTACGCCGGTATTCTGTGAGAGCGTGGTCCTTCCCCGGTCGTGCTGACCCATTTGTGCTACAACTATACTACTAATATAGCTGCAGCATGGCTCTACTACGTGGTTGTGATTTCACTTGATTCTCAGAAAGTCAAGCTGTTTTAATGGTAGTTTTGTTTATTTCTGTTGTTAAATAACATTTAGGCAAACTTGCTCAGGTTCATATTAGTATCGACAATGGGGTTACCCAAGTTTTCAGTCGGCAAGGTACAAAGTTAGCAGTCTGTGACAACATTCAAACTTAATTACTCATGTAAGTATTTGTTACAGTCAAGATTCTTTAAATATCTCTAACTGTCAAAGGTACTTTTCACTGAAAAATACACATGTTCATGGCGTTTGGCCCAAATTTCAATAGGTTAAGGTGCAGCTGACCGGGAATCAGTATTGACTGTGAGATATATAAATTCACTTACTTTGAGCAATTTTCATTAACATGCCAGTTGTAACAGAGTGGTTAAACACTTGTGCTGCTAACTTTACTCTCATTTTCTGCTGACAATTTGGACGCAAATGATTATCTGTCAGTTGAGGAGCATAAACTAAATTGGGGTTGGTTTTGTCCAACTGATAAAATGTTTCAATCTGGCTCCATTTCGCTGTACCTAAAAAAATATATAAGATATTATATAGTAAGTACATAATTTGACTCTTTTTGTGTAGACATTATGTATATTATCTGCACAACAAGACTTTAATTTAAAAAAAATGATATGGGTCAAATCTTCAAAACTAAAATATTTTATTTACCTTTTACAGGCTTCTTATTGCATTGAAAATCTGAGGTTACTTCAATATCATGCTTCATTAACAAATTTCTGGTGCACTTTAAAAGGTGTGGAGGATCTAGTATAGACACAATTTCTTATCCACAGAAATTAAAAAATGGTGCAGTTGATGTTGCACCTAATATTTATAAACTTTGAGATTCACAGCTGATAAATCGCAGACAGTAGCAACCATATTCATCTTTGCTGCAATGCATTTTGTAAGTATCTGAAAAGAAGAAAACAAGTGTAAATTTGAAACATACACATACATATTTTTCAGTCTTGTAATAAAAGTTACAAAAAAGTCTACTATACTTTACCTCTTTTAAAATTATTGTGATTCTATCTGCCTTTATAGTATGGGAGAAATAAAATGCGATGGGCTGTTTCCACTTCTTTCTCAACCCAGTGAGCATATATACCAGAGCCTTAGAGGCAATATCTTCAGTACTACCATGGTTGCCATGGTCTTGAAATCCTTGTATTTCATCCAGCTTTTGATTGTAATACAAATGTCTTCTTATAGACATTTCATCAAACGATAAAATGCAAATAGTCTTCTTTATCCTGGTTCCGGCTCATTTTTTCTAATGAGGTAAATATATGTTTGTTTATGCCTGGTTTTAGTGGCACTTTATTCAGGAGTTGATTTAATTTTGTTTGACAAGGTAAAGCAAACATTCTCTTCAGTAATCTGTAACAGGCTGGGGACTTTTTATAAATTAACAAAGCCTGAATTTTTTGTTGTAAAGTATATCTTCTCCCTTTTGGTTTTTTTGGGCAATTTTGTAACTGGCTTTGTAATAAAGTTATGAATGAATTGCTAATATTTAAATTAGACAATTCTTCAACATTTTGATCTCCTAAAACTCTCATTATCTTCCCTCTCTTAATATTCTTAATTTTGTTACGTAATCGTATTATCTCATGCATCTTATTTTTGTATATTTTATATAATTTTATTTCTCTTGGTGTCATTTGGCTTACTTTTGTGACACCAAGGTTAGCTAGGATTTTAGTACGTTTTTTGGTTAAATTTGACTTGCTACAGGTTGCCACATTGAGGTTTTCAGTTATTGGTGCATTCTGAAATTATAAATATTCACTCTTAGGGACCAATACCAGAACTCACATAATTTAAAATTGTAAGGTATTCGTCAGTTGGTAATAAATATCTTATATATAATCACAAATTTGTTTGAATATTAAAATCTTAATTTGAAGCCAAAATAAATGATCTGTATGACCTACTACAGCCAATAATATGTAAAAAATTATTAATGTAAATGAATTTGTTAAAAAAAAGTACAGTGAAAGCATCATAGTTCACACAAACTCATAAATTAAGTAAAACCACATAAATACTTGAACCACATATTATTAGGTACTCCTCTCTATCTTATTATTTAAAAAGATACTATATAAAACAAAAAAATCGAAAATGTATTACCTGTGCACGCTGTCAATGAATCCAGTTGTTCTCGGGACATCCACTAAAGTTTGTGTTGATGACATTGCACTGGTTTGTACCGGTTCCACTACAATATTTTCAATTTCAGACAGTGGCACTCTTAACTTTGGCTGTGCAGTTGCTTCACTGGACTGTTGTACATTCTGAAATTAATCATTAAGTAATACATTTATTGTATTTCTTTATTTCACATGGAAACTATTAACTGGATTGTTATGCAATTACGGAAAATAGTTTTAGGCGTGCAGATTTTAAAATGTATATTTTGAACTTGGCAGAGAAAATTATATCGCACTTCCACTCAAATAGCATCATAATTCCAAAATACAAATCGTCGAGAAAAATGTGTTTAAAATTTGCTCGAACTTTATTTTTCAAATTCTGGGACATAACTCAGAAACTATGAAAATTATCGTAATAATGATCACATTAAATTTTAATGGTTTTAAATTTAATGTGATCGGTGCTCTACAAAATGGAGTATTTGGTATCAATAGATGAAAAAAAAATCGTATATTTGTAATTGTAACACTATACTATAGATAAAAGAAAGAATATTTTACCATATATTATTTTTTGAAAGTCATTTTATCAAAACAAAAACATTAACAAACAAAACAAAAACTTATTCTGAATTACTCATTGGTACGAAAATAGAGTAATCTGAACCTAACGAAACAATAAAAAAAATTTTGATATTTTTGAGTTATGACACTATTTGAGCAGAGGAGCTTCCATTAAAACATATTTCAAGCCGCCGAAGAAGATTAATAAATTTTTGCCATTCGTCAAGTGTCATATCCCTCTAAAAGATGCAGGAGTGTACAAGCTAGATTGTGAATGTGATCTCTCTTACATAGGACAAACAAAAAGAACATATAGCTGACTTGAAGCACCGACGTTCCCGGAAGTCTGCAATGCGTGAACATGTACAACATCGTCCCAGTAAAACCGTTCTCGGATCTTCAGTGGAGTTCGTTTAACTTCGGTTATCTTCTATTATCTTATATCGTGGTTATCTTATATTGTCAAGATCTTTTAACTCCAAAACAGTAGAACACCTTCTTAAATATCGGTGATCATATAATTGTTTTATACAAATCCAATGAAAGTTTTATTTCGGTCCGTAAAATCCTTATTTACACATTTTATCTGACAATTTACAGATTTCAGTCACAATTAAATGCAACGAACGCTGTTATAAAACATAAGGTAAATGCAATGATCAAAGTTCAATTTAAAATAGAATCGTTCTTGAAACTTTAACTAATAGAATTTGGATGAAGTAATAAAACAGCAAAAAAATTACGCATACGGCATTGGTGTACACCACACGTTTAGGTGGGGCAAAGTTTTATAAAGATTCTGGCATTGTCCTTTGGCACTTAGACCATTTTATCTTGAAATAGTGGATAAAACAGCGGAGCACAGAAATATATAATGTATGTAAATAGGAATTAAATGAATCACAAAGCTCAAACTTACTTATTTGTGGTACTGGTGACTACATAGTTACTTCTTGCACCTGTTGTTCAGTGGGTGCTGGTGATGCAACGGCTGTTGCTCTGCTGCAATTTGCTACTGAAATAATCAAATTCATTAAATATATTAGTGAAATATAATCATTTAGAGAGGTATGTATGTGTAATAAAAATAACATAAATTTACTAATTTGTGGTGCTGACAATGCTTGATCTCTCTCTGTCTCAAGCAACTTATATTCATTAGCTGTAATTGAAATTTGTGTTATAATACATTGTAGGTAAGTACATTTAAATTGCAACAGAATTTACATTATATTTTTAATATATCTTAGAAACAGTACATTGAGACAAAGAACTTCTACCATTTCCATCCCAGTCTCTTGTTGTATATAAGTAATTATTAAGAGTATACTACACGCTACTGAACTCACTTCTTCCTCTGGCATAAAGTCAGGGCAGTCGCTACCAAATGTGTACTCAACACCTATTAACGATACAATTTTCTTTTCCATCTCAGTCAGCGGAGCAGTAGTGATCCCTCGGTTGCCGGTCTGCATCTTTTCTCTTTTTAATTTTGCCGCTTTAGTGCGGGCTCGGCTTTGATGTCTCTTCATACATACAAATTAAATAATTATGTATTTTAAGTAAATATTAGAGGAGAAGATAGAGAACTGCAACCGCCGCATCATCCTCCATCACGACAATGCGAGTTCTCACACCGCACACAGAACAAAAGGGTTTTTAGAGCAAGAAAACATAGAATTATTAGACCATCCGCCGTACAGCCCCGACCTAAGCCCTAATGATTTCTATACTTTCCCTAAAATACAGAATAAATTGCGTGGACAGAGATTTTCATCACCTGAAGAAGCTGTGGACGCCTACAAAACGGCCATTTTGGGGACCCCAACTTCCGAATGGAATAGTTCCTTCAATGATTGGTTCAATCGTATGGAAAAATGTGTCAAATTTCGCGGAGAATACTTCGAAAAGCAATAAATACATTTTTAAATAGTAATGTTGTGTCACTTCCTTGATTCCCGAAATTTTCAGTACCGCCCTCGTACCTATCTACTTGTAATCATAACCTCGCCCAGTAATATTTTAAACTTTATTTGCCCAGAAGACAGAACAACAACAACAGAGTACATTATGCCGTACGCAATATGAGCAGTTTTACAATGCAAAAATTACATTCTATGAGATGTCTTTTAAACAAACAATAAATAAATAAATCTTACCAAAAATATCCTTGTCTTTTTCACTGAGCACATCTAAATCGGAATATAATATTAAGCAAATATCTTTCCATGCTGCATTCGAAATGTTCTCATATTTAAACTCTTCTAAAGATTTGTCCCACAAGACTGGTCTTTCGCGATCCAGTGAGATTAATTGGTCCATATCTATATTCTTAATAAATTCAGGTATGTCCATTCTGCAAATACTCTTTGACATGCACCGCGCGTGACGTCCTTCCTCTCCGTGTGTAAACGACCAACTAAACTCTTATATTAGTTGAGAACTACGACACCGCTTGTCACTACCGCCGCGGTACAGAGACTCGCTACCGCCGCCGCGGCGTCATGTGTAAGGCTCCATACAAATTCAAGGGAGACTATAGCAGTGGCGCCGCGACGGCGGCGGTGCCGCTGCCGCTGCGGCATAATGTGTAAACACCCTGAGTTTGGGGGTGCTTTGGGTAACACTAAGGTATTATCGAGGAAAGTATACTTGTTCTTGTTCAGTGCTCATGTCAGGGATATCCTCAATTTCTAATTCCGACTGCTCCGAATCCGTCTCTTCGCCTTCTTCCAATACATAGCTTCGGTCGGTCTTCCCTTTCGATCACGTCACGAACAGCATCAGCTAAATTTTCAACAGGAATAGGTTGCGCGTTTCGATCACGCTGATATTTCCGTTTTCTTGAAGTTGATGCTTGAGATTCCGACATCTAAAAACGTAAATAATCATTATTGCATATACCGTCGTGACGACTACGAGACGTTTAGTAAAAAATACAGAAAAACTGTGCAGGCGTCTTTCAGACACAAAGAAAAAATAACATAAGTACCGACCTTGC